GATATTGTGCTCCAGAAGCATCCCAGAGGATTCCTATCCTGCAGATCCTGGGGTCCTCCACAGACCCAGTCAATCAGAGTCTTCAAGGATAGAGCCCAGGATTCTCCTTCTTTAAAAGGTGTTTGATCCTGAAACCACTAAAGTTCAAGCTCAGAACTTTAGTAGTTAACACCACAGGATCCTTTACTTATCAAGGTTGCAGCCCTAAACTCTCCAAGCTTCAGTTTCCTCTTGTATAAAATAGAAGTATAGCACCTGCCTCCTGGGGTTAGTATGAGGATTGAATGAGATTGACACCTATAAAGCACGTGGCACAGTGCCTGGCTAATACTCAGCGGGTATGTAGAGGCATTGCCTTACCCATTGAAATATTTCCCTACCTGCTAATAAATAGCTGCTGCTCTGATCTCCCTCAGCCCCGCTTTCCTATCCTGGCCCTCTCAAGGACTCCTCAGACTTCCCCACCATTCAGCAACTACAGGGTTAATTCCTATCCTGGCTCTCTCCAAGAGTCCTCATTCAGCTACTACAGGGTTAACAAGGGGACCTCCAGGACAGAGCTCTGTGTCTGTGAAGGGACAGGTGATTAAAACTCTTCGGCTGCAACATCTGCATGTCTGGTAGGTGCTACAGACCAAAGCATGCCTGACGGTCTGGCAAATGTCTGCTAAGCAATCTCCCCCATCCCTGGCTGCCACCTCTGGCTGCTCAGGACACTGACTTTCTCTCCTTTTCTTCCTCCAGCTTTGACCTCCACTTTAACTGCATCTCTGAGCTCTCACCTCTGCAAGCTTGACTTGCTTCCTTTTTCCTGTGGCCTTTGGGGCCCTGTGGTGTTTGCATCTCTCCTCACTGTGGAGTCTGACCACCAGCTCTCAGAGTTGACTTGTGGGCTCTTCCCACTACAGAAGAGCCTCAGCCACCAGGATAAGCTTTACCTAGTGCAGTCCCCAGACACCTGCCCTGACTTAGCACATTTGCTGGTCTCTGATGCCAGGTCCCAGTCCTTNGCACTGTAGCAGTGCGCCACCGGGCCGGCCCATGAAAGCCAATTTTGATGTTGCATAAATCCTTTCATAATGATCACCTGGTGTCACTGGCATATGTAAATGGACACATCACTTCTAACAGGGCTTTTCCTCCATCTGCTCTGCCCTTTTAGGACCAGGAAGGAGGGAAGTAACTCAGTGCCGTGGCATACTAAGTAGGAGCAGGAGATAGTTTAGATACCTGTGTGTCTCCTGACTCTACATTCTGTATCAAATAGGGGTAGAAGGGGACATGTCATTTTCATCATAATAAATTCCCCAGCGTGCCACATTTTTCTTTTCCCTGCAAACCTGAACTGACGACCAGTGGTTTTTGTTTTACACAGATAACCATGACCTTGCTGCTGTGTCCTAGAGGCACTACAGTATATTTCCATATGACATTTTCTATTATATGTTGTGAATGACAGAAATTAAATGTGCATACATACCAGGGTTTATCTGAGACTTCCTTTCTTCACCTGACAAACATGGTGTCTCCTGCTCTATGAAAGCCTGGAGGGAAACTGTCTGGAAATCCACGCACAAAAGTTCCACGTGGGGTGACTGTTCGCTTACCAAAACAAAACAAAACAAAACAAAAAAAAACCACGTGGAGCTCTCATTGGTTCACCAATGTGGGTTCCTAAAGAGTCTCACCTCAAATGCACTGGGAAAAAAGCTCCTGGGAGAGTTTGCTAGGAGGGGAAGCAGAGTGCTGTGTGTTACAGGAGTAGGTCCTTGGATATTGTGCTCCAG